ACCCATCACCTGATCGGACCCATCACCTGATCGGACCCATCACCTGAGTTACCTATGGGATAGTCTAGTTCGGGTCCTTCAACCTTTGGGAAGGGAGTCCGAGGGTCTCTCTTTCCAATCTGAGCGAACCGTTTTGGCAGGCACTTGGAGGGCCAGCCAGCGCCTGAGCGCCTTGGTGTTGAACATGTCCAGCCGCCAACGATGGGGGGGGAGTCTCTATATAGCATGCATTCCCCCAAAGAGTTTGGCCTAGGAATTGCTGACAAAAGAAGCCACAAAAGAGGACATGACACAATTCATGTGGATGTTCCAGGGGCTGATAGTAAGGGTGTTCTCAGTTTGTGGCATCGAGCTTTACAGCATTGGCACTGTTTTCCGCACGCAAGGCAATCTGGGAGACACACTTTCTATGGTTCCAACTCAAAAACAATTGAGGCAGTTGGAAGCAAATAAGTTATAGATCTTTATTGACCAGAGCTTCCACACATATAATATACAATATATACACCATCATACATCTTACACATGTAATATGTCCGGTGGGCTTCTTCCAGAACTTTTTTTCCCAAAGGCAGTGGCTTGCATTGGCTCGATAGATGATCTTACTGGGCCGCAAAACACCAGATGACCGCACGTGCACGCCGCCGGCAGAATTGAGGAAGCATCTCCAGCAAGCATCTCAATACCCCCTGTTGGACACAAGGTTGAACATGCCTTTTCCATCCTGTTATGTTTTTCTCTTCAGCGTGGCTGTTTTCCACATGGTTTGCTCACCTTGTTGGCTTACATTCTGGGCGAAGGGGGTGGTGTTGAGCCCCCAAAACTGGAAATGACGCTTCTTCCGCTCGCGTTCATGAGTTCTATTGAATTCTCAAGACTTGTCAAAATTTGTCTCCAGGAACTCCATGTCATTTCCACATGGTTTCCTTCTCAAAGGAGATTGTGCTGTCATATGCAGGTTGCTTTGTTTAACATCTTTTGTAAGCCCAATAGGTTCGACCCTCGTTCGCCCGGCCTTCCGCTTTTGACAGGTTCGACCCCTTGACCGACATGACCAGCCTCATCCGCGCGCGGGCCGCGGAGCACGTGGGCGTCCAGTCGACATGGCCGTTGCAGGGTGCGGCCAGCCGCTTTGATCGCTTCAAGTGCTTGGAGGCAGTCAAAGGTGCGGTGGAAGCGCGTCAATGTTCAGTTCAGAAGGTTGGTGCAACGTTGGCGTCATTCAAGTGCTTGATTGATGGTCCGGCGGGTTGAACCACAAAAAGGGTCAAGGGTTTTTCGATGTTGGGAAAAGGATGACTATGCAAAATACACACCTCGTGGTCTTTCAGAGTCACCCCCAGGTGAACACCCGAGATCATCCACGACATGTTGTATCTCACCTGTGAGGGTTGTTAGATTTTATGCTCTTCCTTCTCTTCCTCCGTGTCCGCCTCCGCCTTTGCGTCCTCCTCCTCGTCCTCAACCGCGCAGGATGGCAGCGTTCCCCGCAGGACCTCAACCGCCCCGCCGCACCTCAAACGCCAGCTCTTTGTAGACTACTATGTGTGCTTTGTGACTGTGTAGGGGTGATCACTCGAAGTGCATCTGCATCTGGCAATAATTGCGATTCTTTGCTCAAGCAGCTGTTTCTGTGTAAATGTTAGTCAAATCTGGCTTCGGGATGTTTCACAATACCAACATTTTGCTATATAGAATTGCACCGGCATAGACCCCAGATAGCGGGTGTATAGGTTTGTCACCCCTGGGCATGACATGATGTCATTCTGGGCATGGCATGATGTAACCCCTTGCATGGCATGATGTCACCCCCTGGCATGACATGATGTCATTCCTCGAATGAAATGATGTCAGTCTAGGCATGGCGTGATGTCAGCCCTGGACCAGCACCAGAAACCACCCGCAAAACAAA